TAGGCATTGGGTGGCAGAAAAGGGGGTGATTGCTAAGGACTAGGGCCTGGGCCCTGGAGTACATGTCCTGAGAGAAGACTGAGAAGTGTGTTTGGGAAAGTTTCCCATCATATTTGGAGATAAACCTGAACTCCTTTGTGTGGTCCCGAAGGGCCCATTAGATCTGAGGCTGCCTGCCCATCCAACCTACACCTTCCAGCCTTGTCTCCTAGCCCTCTCCCCCTTGCTATGTATGTTTTAGCCACTCTCCTTCTTTCTTTCTTTTTTAAAAATAGGATGTAATATATAATTCCTAAGTTAAAATAATCATGAAAGTAATCATAAAATGATTAAAGTTAATTATAATCATGAAGTGACAAATTAAAAATATGAAATGACAAATTTCTAGAAAAATGTACATCGCAAAATTGACAGGTGTGTATAAATCTCAAATAGTCACCACAGAAAATATTGTAAAACTTACATATTTTCTCCTTCAAGGGCTTAAGGGACAATTCTCTTGCCAGTGGATTCCTTCAGACTCTTTATGAATAGATCATTTTTGTGGTAACAAATATGTTTTTTTAACTTTTATTTTAAGTTCGGGTGCGTGTGCAGGTTTGTTACATAGGTAGATTGCATGTTACAGGGTTTGGTGCACAGACGATTTCATCACCCAGGTAATAAGCATGGTACCCAATCGATAGTTTTTTGATCCTCACCCTTCTCCCACCCTCCATCCGGAAAGAGGCCCCAGTGTCTCTTCCCTTCTTTGTGTCCATGTGTACCCAAGGTTTAGCTCCCACTTATGAAGTGAGAACATGCAGTATTTGGTTTTCTGTTTCTGTGTCAGTTCACCTAGGATAATGACCGCAGCCTCCATCCGTATTGCTACAAAGGACATGATCTCCTTCTTTTTTGTGGCTGCACAGTATTTCATGATGTGTATGTGCCATATTTTCTTTATCCAGTCTACTGTTGATGGGTATTTAGGTTGATTTGCTATCGTGAATAGTGCTGTGATGAACATAAGCATGCATTTGTCTTTATGGTAGAATGATTTATATTCCTTTGGGTATATACCCAATAATGGGATTGCTGGGTTGAATAGTTGTTCTGTTTTAAGTTCTTCGAGAAATTGCCAAATTGCTTTCCACAATAACTGACCTAACTTATGTTCCCACCAGCATTGTATGAGTGTTCTCTTTTCTCCACAACCTCACCAGCATGTGTGTGGTTTTTTTTTTTTCCATTTTTAATAGCCATCCTGACTGATGTGAAATGGTATCTCATTGTGGTTTTGATTTGCATTTCTCTAATGGTTAGTGATGTTGAGCATTTTTTCATATGCTTGTTGGTGCATGTATGTCTTCTTTTCAAAAGTGTCTGTTCGTGTCCTTTGGCCACTTTTTAATAGGGTCATTTGTCTTTCACTTATAAAGTTGAAGTTCATTATAGATTCTGTATATTAGACCTTTGTCAGATACATGGTTTGCAAATACTTTCTCCCATTCTGTAAGCTATCTGTTTACTCTGTTGATAGTTTCCTTTGCTGTGCAGAAGCTCTTTAGTTTAATTAAGTCCCATTTGTCAATTTTTGTTTTCATCGTGATTGCTTTTGGCGTCCATGAAACCTTTGCCAGGGCCTATGTCCAGGATGGTATTTCTTAGGTTATATTCCAGATGGTTGTAGGTGTGCAGCTTTATTTCTGTTCCGCTGGTCTCTCTGTCTGTTTTTTGTACCAGTACCATACTGTTTTAGTTACTATGGCCTTCTAGAGTAGTTCGAAGTCAAGTAATGATGCCATTAGCTTTGTTCTTTTTGTATAGGATTGCTTTGGCTATTCAGAGTCTTTTCTTATTCCATATGGATTTTAAAATAGCTTTTTCTAATTCTTTGAAGAATGTCATTGGTAGTTTGGAATAGCATTGAATCTGTAAATTGCTTTGGGCAGTATGGCTTTTTTTTTTTTTTTTTTTTGAGATGGAGTCTCTCACCCAGGCTGGAGTGCAGTGGTGTGATCTCGGCTCACTGCAACCTCCACCTCCCAGGTTCAAGTGATTCTCCTACCTCAGCTCCCGAGTAGCTGGGACTACAGGCTCATGGCACCATGCCTAGCTAATTTTTTGTATTTTTAGTAGAGTCGGAGTTTCACTGTGTTAGCCAGGAAGGTCTCGATCGCCTGACCTTGTGATCTACCTGCCTCGGCCTCTCAAAGTGCTGGGATTACAGGCGTGAGCCACCGCGCCCGGCCTCATTTTAACAATATAGTTTCTTTCTATTCATGAACGTGGAATGTTTTTCCGTTTGTTTGTGTCATCTCTAATTTCTTTCAGCAATGTTTTATAATTCTCATTGTAGAAATCTTTCACCTTCCTGGTTAGCTGTATTCCTAGGTATTTTATTCTTTTTGTGACTGTTGTGAATGAGATCGTGTTCTTGGTTTGGCCCTCAGCTTGGGTGTTGTCGATGTATAGAAATGCCACTGATTTGTGATTTTGTAGCCTAAGACTTTGCTGAAGTTATTTATCAGATCTGGGAGCTCCTGGGCTTTCTCGCTTTCTATGAAAAAGCCAAACCCATTCCCAATACTTCATATACTTGCTAGGAGCCCTTTTCCTCCAAATCTTTGCATAGATTCCTTCTTCTCATCAATGAAGTATCTGCTCAAATAGCCCGTCCTAAATAGCCTGTCTAAAATGTTACCCTTTTTGTCACTCTGTAATCTCTTTCCTAGATAATTTCCTTCATAGTACAGCATTATATCTGAAATTTTCTTATTTTTACCCATTATTTTCTGTCTCTTGTGCTAGAAAGTAGGCTTCATGAAGATATGGATATTGTGTGTTCACCACAGCATTTGAAGTAGCTGACACAGTGCCTGGCCTGTTTAGTAGGGGGTCAAGAAACATTTGTTTAATGGATAAAAGAGGAAAATGGGCATTCAGACAGTAACACTTCAGCAGGGTGTTTGCTGGAATGGTAGCAAATCAGGAACATGAAAGCTAAGTTTACTAAGGGAAGCAGGTAGGGTGTTAGAGAAGTCTCCCCACAGAGGAAATAAAAACCTAGAGAATGAGTTGCAGTTTGGCAGATGGGAGGATGGGGATGGAGAACTGCAGAAACAGTGTATGTGAGGAAGACCTACTGGGAGCACGGAGACCAGTATTTTTCAGAGGAAACCCTTACCAGCTAGATGTGTGAGGATGGCTCATGTGTGGCGGAGGGAGCTGAAACTGGACAGGTCAACAGGAATCATTGCTATGAAGGGTTTTCTATGCCTAAAAAGGGGTTTAGATTTTGCTAAACCCCTTTTTTGAAGAATTCTGGCCTTTTCACAACCAGGACACCAGAAGGAATAGTCCGAATGTTCTGTCTTTACTTTCTCACTTCCTTTGACTCTTCAGCCTATTGTAATTGGACTTGCACCCAAATCACTCCATTAAAACTGTGTTAGTTAAGGGGCATTCCAGTTGCTAAATGCTTTTCAGCCATCATGTCACACAGTGAAAGGGCAACAGCTTTGGCCCTGCTGACTCCTTTCTTTCCTGAACTGGTCTCTTCCTTGGTTTCTCTGGTTGTACTTCTCTCTTCTGGTTGTACTTCTACTTTTCAGTAGAAGCCTTTTCAGGCGTTTCTTTAGCATTGCCCATCTTTAAGTCTTTAAAGTCCAGAGTTTCATTCTTGGTGGTCTCCTATTATTCTATATTCTCACCCTGGGAAAACTCACATATGTTCTTGCCTTCCACCCCAGTGACTTCCAAATCTTGTTATTTACTTCGTATTTTTTTTTAAGTTCCAGATCTATATATTTACTGTCTACTAAAAAGCTGCCTTCATTAGGATAGCCCATAGACATCTGACTCAATATGTCTAAAAAGTGAATCCCAACCTAATACTGCTTGTAAATTTCCTGTCTTGGTGAATACATTATCAGCTACCTAGTTGCCGAAACCAGAAACCTGTGGGTCCTTTTAGATCTTTTTTTTTTTTTTTTATCCCTTATGTGCCACAGATAATCAACTGCGAATTATTTTAGTTCTACCTTACAGTTTCTCAAATATGTCTCCTTTCCCTTATGTTGTTGGAGTACTTCAGAAAGTCATCATCTGTCTCATCTGGATTATTGTTTCCCTGCCTCTAACACTGCTTCCCCTTCCATCTAATTCCGTTCAGCAAATCTGATTGTGTCATCATGCCGACCCCCTCTCTCACTGATTGGTGTAAGGCAAGAACTCAAGCTTGAGTTGTCGTTAAATCCTTTACTACCCATGTCCCAGGTGTCCCAGGTCTAGCTCTCTAGCTCCCATTCTACTTCTATACTTCTGATAATGACTGCTCCTTTTTCTGAACTCCTAAACTGAATGCTTGTACCACCCCAGATACTTACTTATACTACATGCTTTCTGCTGTTCTTTAACTGTTTATGTGTATGTATTTTATGGACCAAATGAGGGGACCTTCTCCAGGGCTTGGACCATTTCCTCCAGAAAGGGTAAGACAGTATTTTTGTGGACATAGTGTGCAGTCAATAAATATTTATTGGATTACATTCACTAATAAGTCTTTCTCCCCTTATATATTATTTATTAATAATGTCAGTTTCTCTTTAAAATTGTCTCTGAGTTTTACATTTAACTGCATGAAGGCTTCACATTTTTTTAGTAACTTTGTGTCACTGGTTTGCTAATTAATAGGACTTAACTTTTCATTTTCACCTAGCAAATCTGTTTCTTCATAGGTGAGGAATTCTTGCAATGTGCATGGTGGTAATAACAGCTATTTTTGGAAATATCAGCAGGAGTGTGCTAAATACTGTCAAATACTCTTAGATTCTTCTATGATTAGAATGGCTTATAAGTATCACAGCTTTAATTGGATTGAAGATAGCTTAATTTGATTCTTAGCTTTTCAAATGCAGCCTTTCAAGAAAAAGGATTTTTTGGTCAGTTTAAGATATTAGGAATTGATGTGTCTTATTGCCTTAGAACATGAAGGATTCTTTTGTTAACTGACACAGGCATTGACATGTAGAGAAGAACTCCTGACTCTTCTTCTGTCTCTCCTTCCACTGGTATGGAAGATACCTGTCCAAGAAGAAAAGGCAACAGGTATGCTTTTTCCCCTTATCATATCACTTGTGTTATCAAAATCTCATAGAAAAGTTACTTCTGCCTGAATGTTTGATTCTGATTCAGATTCAGAACAGTGTATGTTATAGTGATTTATTATATACTAAATATGAAAAATTATTTAGGCAAACACATTTTTCTTTCAATAATACAAAAACCATGGTGCTTCCTGAGGGAAGTACTTGAATGTACTGATAATTAGAAAATGTATGAAGAAGCAGAACACTTATCAGAAGGAGTGAATCTAGGTGTGTAGCATACATCAGAAAAATGGATAGTGAAAAGTTGGAAGTGAAAAATCTGAATAAAGCAATTAAAGTTTCTTTGCTTATTTTAAAGACTGCTTTCTATTACCAGTATTCTTTAAGTGACTTTTGCAGTATTTGTTTTAGCTTAGTTTTTCTAGTGTTGCCTCTAAAGGATAATTTTTATTTTATTTTATTTTTAGACAGAGTCTCACTCTGTCACCCAGGTTGGAGTGCAGTGGAGTGATCTCGGCTTACTGCAACCTCAGCCTCCCGAGTTCAAGCGATACTTGTGCCTCGGCCTCCTGAGTAGATGGGATTACAGGAGTGCACAACCATGCCAGACTAATTTTCGCCTTTTAGTACAGATGGGGTTTCACCATGTTGGCCAGGCTGGTCTCAAACTCCTGACCTCAAGTAGTCTGCCCACCACAGCCTCCCAAAGTGCTGGGATTACAGGCATGAGCCACTGTGCCCAGCCTAAAGGATAAATTTAATATAATATTTTGTTTCAAGCTTGGGTAGAATTATTACACATAAGGTCAATAGATATTTTTAATTTATGATTTTGAAGACTTCATATGTCTATAAAGTACATGAAACTTTAAATGTTTCATTGGTGAGATTAATAGTTTTCCTCTTGACCCTTTCTTGTGACATGTGACTTGTGAGATGTTTGAAGATCTCTCAGGTTAAAAAAAAAATCTATTCTATTTTAATTCCTGTATTTTTAGTGAATTTCATGGAGGTTTTTTAAAGGAAGTATCTAAGGTCTTGTAATACTGTTTTTCTGCTTATTTATTGATTCACTAACTCTCTGCTTTTATTTTTTTCTGAGTTTGCAGAATTCACACATTGTTAATCACTTAAGAAATCTGATTAATGCTCTTTGGGGGAAGTTGTCTTCATTGTCTGCATCTTTTACTTGGGTGGAATTTGTCAGACTCCTTTTAATTTCTCCTCTTCCCATCTGGTTTGCTTTCCCTGTCTTAGTAAAGCACAGATTTTTTATTTACGGATTTTAATTTACTCACTCTAAATTACAAATACTTTTTTATATAGCTCTTATTACATACTGCAAAGAGAAAGACTGATTTAATTATCTTTTTAGTTAAAAGGAGAATTCATTCATTTCCCCTAAGAAATAGTTACTGAGTGTTGACCATATGCCAGGCCCTATCTAGGCACTGGGGATGAAATAACGATGTCTATACCTGGTGCCTAGTTTCTCAAATGCTGAAACATTTAAGAAATAATTTGAATAAAGAATTCTTTAAACCTCAGTTTTGGAGAACATTTGGCATATAGTGTATGATTTTGAAATAATTTTAGGAAAATCTTAAAGTAGTTAAGTTCTATCAGGTCTATGAATACTATTTTTGAGAATATAATACATCCTTATATCTTAATTAGGGGACTATGGGAGGAGATTTGTAAACAGTATGAACAACAGCACTAAATACCAGATAATCTACAGTATCTCTTATGTTGAAGTTAGAATATAATATATAGTTTTAAATCAGATTTACTTTCTTAACTTTGTTCTCTTTTGTTTGTTGTTGCTGTTTTGAGATAGAGTCTCACTCTGTCACCTGGGCTGGAGAGCAGTGGCACGATCTCATCTCACTGCAACCTCCGCCTCTCAGGTTCAAGTGATTCTCCTGCCTCAGCCTCCCAAGTAGCTGGGATTACAGGCAGATGCCACCACATCTGGCTAATTTTTATATTTTAGCTAGAGACAGGGTTTCACCACGTTGGCCAGGCTCGTCTCAAACTCTTGACCTCAAGTGATCCACCTGCCTCAGCCTCCCAAAGTGCTGGGATTACAGGCATGAGCCACCTCACCCAGCCTCTCTTTTGCTGTTTCAAAAATCAGTTTGTATCCTTTGAAGTAATGTCAGCTAGTGTTTAGAGTAAGGATAGGTGTGCCTCTGTTTTGTTGTTTTAAAAATCAATTTGTATCCTTTGAACTAATGTCAGCTAGTGTTTAGAGTAAGGACAAGTGTGAGCGGAAGTAACCCAGAGATATGACATAAATGAAGGAAATCAGCCCTGCTGCAAAATACATTGAGGATAAACTCCTTTAGTGGGTGATAAATAAGAGGGCTGTCACCTTAAAATTGAATTTTAAAACATATTGAGGTATTCTAAGTCTTCTTTCTTCATTCTGTTAGATTTTAATCTACCGCTCTCAGCTGATATAATCCTGACCAAAGAAAAGAACTCAAGCTCACAAAGATCCACTCAGGAAAAATTACATTTAGAAGGAAGTGCCCTGTCTAGTCAGGTTTCTGCAAAAGTAAATGTTTTTCGAAAAAGCAGACGACAGCGTAAAATTACCCATCGCTATTCTATAAGAGATGCAAGAAAGACACAGCTGTCCACCTCAGATTCAGAAGCCAATTCAGATGAAAAAGGCATAACAATGAATAAGCATAGAAGGCCCCATCTGCTGCAGCATTTTGTAACATCGTTTCCTAAAGAAGACCACCCTAAAGCTAAACTTGACCACTTAACAACCAAAGAAGAACAGACTCCTCCAGATACTATGGCTTTGGAAAATTCCAGAGAGATTATTCCAAGACAGGAGTCAAACACTGACATTTTAAGTGAGCCAGCTGCCTTGTCTGTTATCAGTAACATGAACAATTCTCCGTTTGACTTATGTCATGTTTTGTTATCTTTATTAGAAAAAGTTTGTAAGTTTGACATTACCTTGAATCATAATTCTCCTTTAGCAGCCAGTGTAGTGCCCACACTAACTGAATTCCTAGCAGGCTTTGGGGACTGCTGTAGTCTGAGTGACAACTTGGAGAGTCGAGTAGTTTCTGCAGGTTGGACTGAAGAACCAGTGGCTTTGATTCAAAGGATGCTCTTTCGAACAGTGTTGCATCTTCTGTCAGTAGATGTTAGTACTGCAGAGATGATGCCAGAAAATCTTAGGAAAAATTTAACTGAATTGCTTAGAGCAGCTTTAAAAATTAGAACATGCCTAGAAAAGCAGCCTGACCCTTTTGCACCAAGACAAAAGAAAACACTGCAGGAGGTTCAGGAAGATTTTGTGTTTTCAAAGTATCGTCATAGAGCCCTTCTTTTACCTGAGCTTTTGGAAGGAGTTCTTCGGATTCTGATCTGTTGTCTTCAGAGTGCAGCTTCAAATCCCTTCTACTTCAGTCAAGCTGTGGATTTGGTTCAAGAATTCATTCAGCATCATGGATTTAATTTATTTGAAACAGCAGTTCTTCAAATGGAATGGCTGGTTTTAAGAGATGGAGTTCCTCCTGAGGCCTCAGAGCATTTGAAAGCCCTAATAAATAGTGTGATGAAAATAATGAGCACTGTCAAAAAGGTGAAATCAGAGCAGCTTCATCATTCGATGTGTACAAGAAAAAGGCACAGACGATGTGAATATTCTCATTTTATGCATCATCACCGAGATCTCTCAGGTCTTCTGGTTTCAGCTTTTAAAAACCAGGTTTCCAAAAACCCATTTGAAGAGACTGCAGATGGAGATGTTTATTATCCTGAGCGGTGCTGTTGCATTGCGGTGTGTGCCCATCAGTGCTTGCGCTTACTACAGCAGGCTTCCTTGAGCAGCACTTGTGTCCAGATCCTCTCGGGTGTTCATAACATTGGAATATGCTGTTGTATGGATCCCAAATCTGTAATCATTCCTTTGCTCCATGCTTTTAAGTTGCCAGCACTGAAAAATTTTCAGCAGCATATATTGAATATCCTTAACAAACTTATTTTGGATCAGTTAGGAGGAGCAGAGATATCACCAAAAATTAAAAAAGCAGCTTGTAATATTTGCACTGTTGACTCTGACCAACTAGCCCAATTAGAAGAGACACTGCAGGGAAACTTACGTGATGCTGAACCCTCCTCAAGTTCATCCACTCCTTCTTATAGATTTCAAGGGATCCTGCCTAGCAGTGGATCTGAAGATTTGTTGTGGAAATGGGATGCTTTAAAGGCTTATCAGAACTTTGTTTTTGAAGAAGACAGATTACATAGTATACAGATTGCAAATCACATTTGCAGTTTAATCCAGAAAGGCAATATAGTTGTTCAGTGGAAGCTATATAATTACATATTTAATCCTGTGCTCCAAAGAGGAGTTGAATTAGCACATCATTGTCAACACCTAAGCATTACTTCAGCTCAGAGTCATGTATGTAGTCGTCGTAACCAGTGCTTGCCTCAGGACGTGCTTCAGATTTATGTAAAAACTCTGCCTATCCTGCTTAAATCCAGGTTTGTATGTGTTTGGGTGGCAGGGGCGGGTGGGGTGTGCATGTCTAGATCTTTTTCATTGGATGCTTTCAAGTGAGTGATGAAATGTATGCATTTAAACTTCTGACACTGATATCTCCAGGGCCTTGGCAGTAGTGTGGTCATATTTACTGTTTATTCTTTCCTAGGATTTAATTTCAATTTGCCAACAAAAAATGTTCTCCTTCCACATCAGATTTGTTTTAACCATTTGTTTATGTATGTATGTATTTTTACTGAGCTGTTTACAGAGAAGAGGATAGAGCCATTGATTTTAATTTCTCAACAAAAAGAAAAGTTTTAGATATACTTCTGAGAAAAACGTAGATGAAACACAGATATCCAAGAGCAGGGCAAGTTTAATTACTTTATATTTCTTTGATACAATATTATTGGCCATTGAAAATGTTTACAAAGATCATATTGGAATATGAGAAAATGATTATACTATCTTATGGGTAAAATATAAACAATTAAAATAGTATTAGGCCGGGCACGGTGGCTCAAACCTGTAATCCCAGCACTTTGGGAGGCCGAGACGGACGGATCACGAGGTCAGGAGATCGAGACCATCCTAGCTAACCCGGTGAAACCCTGTCTCTACTGAAAAATACAAAAAACTAGCCGGGCGTGGTGGCGGGTGCCTGTAGTCCCAGCTACTCGGGAGGCTGAGGCAAGAGAATGATGTAAACCCGGGAGGCAGAGCTTGCAGTGAGCTGAGATCTGGCCACTGCACTCCAGCCTGGGTGACAGAATAAGACTCCGTCTCAAAAAAAAAAAAAAAAATAGTGTTCACTTATTTACAACTTATGTAAAATATGTAGTATATGTAAAATACATAAAATGATTATTGAGGCAGTGGTATTAATGGGATTGTTAATTTTAAAATATTAAATTTACATTTGTAACCTCTGCAATATATGCAGAAAAATTAGAAAATATAGATAAGCAAAAATATGAAAATTAAAATTACTTTTAATCATATCAGTGAGTTTTCCAGACTTTGTGATTGCCAAATCTGGTGCATTTAAAAATAATTTTATAAATAAAGCTTGCTTCTGATAGGTAGACTGACCTTTCAAATTAATGCATATACCATTTTAGAAACTTATACAAGTATATCCTATCATTAATATCTTCATGTGTGGCATTTTTTGGTCCATCTTAGTACAACTACTTTAAAACTATTATTGACATTAAATCATTGCCTTACAGTCATTTAAAAATTTTTCTGACGTTTCGGCATCATTTAAATAGAACTGACTGATTAGAAAGTTTTGTAACTCTTTGGCATATTTGTGGACAACCTGGATCTTTGTGATGGAAGGGCTGAGAATCACCTAGCTGGCTTATGTTAAAGTTATTAGTAGGATTCCAATGATCTAGACACAAGTCTCACCTGAGACAGAGCTGAAAACCTTTTTATAGTATTTGTACTATTGACTCTGTGCAACTAGCCCTGTTAGAAGGGAAATTCATGTGATGCCGAACCTTCTGAAGATTTTCAGCTCTGTAGTGTGATTCTTTCTCTTCATAAGGCATAGATTTAAAATAAACAAAAATTCCCAAATGAACCATCAGGCAGAAAAACTAATGAACAAACACATGCTTACCTGCCCTCAGAGTGTCTATCGCGAGTGTGGTGGTGGCTGTCATGTTCAGAATTTATATAGAATTTGCCATTTGGAGAAAAATATTATTCCCTGAATTGCTTCATTTAATGTGGGACAGGTAATCTTTTGTTTCTAGACACTGCTGGAGCCATATATACAAATGTTTGAAGAAGGATATCAGAGTAATTAGAAAGTAACTTGAGGTCCTGATTATATCTAACTAAGAACTTTAGCCCGATAATTGATGGATAAAATTAGGTAGTGGTTAGTGTATCCCACATGCAATACCAGTATATTAAATACTATATGTACTTATTTATAAATGATGTTTCTTTATTTAAAACTTTTTACATGCTTTTTTCTTTCGCAGGGTAATAAGAGATTTGTTTTTGAGTTGTAATGGAGTAAATCAAATAATCGAATTAAATTACTTAAATGGTATTCGAAGTCATTCTCTAAAAGCATTTGAAACTCTGATAATCAGCCTAGAGGAGCAACAGAAAGATGCCTCAGTTCCAGGTATTGATGGGATAGACAATGAACAGAAGGAGTTGTCCTCTGTACATGTAGGTACTTCTTTTCATCATCAGCAAGCTTATTCAGATTCTCCTCAGAGTCTCAGCAGATTTTATGCTGGCCTCAAAGAAGCTTATCCAAAGAGGCGGAAGACTGTTAACCAGGATGTTCATATCAACACAATAAACCTATTCCTCTGTGTGGCATTTTTATGCATAAGTAAAGAAGCAGAGTCTGATAGGGAGTTGGCCAATGACTCAGAAGATACTTCTGGCTATGACAGCACAGCCAGCGAGCCTTTAAGTCATATGCTGCCATGTTTATCTCTCGAGAGCCTTGCCTTGCCTTCTCCTGAACATATGCACCAAGCAGCAGACATTTGGTCTATGTGTCGTTGGATCTACATGTTGAGTTCAGTCTTCCAGAAACAGTTTTATAGGTTTGGTGGTTTCCAAGTATGCCATAAGTTAATATTTATGATAATACAGAAACTGTTCAGAAGTCACAAAGAGGAGCAAGGAGAAAAGGAGGGAGATACAACTGTAAATGAAAACCAGGATTTAAACAGAATTTCTCAACCTGAGATAACTATGAAGGAAGATTTATTATCTTTGACTATAAAAAGTGACCCCATACCATCAGAACTAGGTAGTCTAAAAAAGAGTGCTGACAGTTTAGGTAAATTAGAGTTACAGCATATTTCTTCCATGAATGTGGAACAAATTTCAGCTAGTGAAGCTGCTCCCGAGGAAGCAAAGATATTTACAAGTCAAGAAAGTGAGACCTCACTTCAGAGTATACGACTTTTGGAAGCCCTTCTGGCCATTTGTCTTCATGGTGCCAGAACTAGTCAACAGAAGATGGAATTGGAGTTACCTAATCAGGTAATACCGTGTCCTTAGTTCAGCTGTTATGTAATATGTATACATAAATAGATATATTATGTAATATATATTATTATATATAATGTAATATATATTAGGTTTTATATATATTACGTTTTATATATATATACACACACATACACAGACATACACACACACACATTTTTTAAGTGTCAGATGAATAATAATGGATATTGTGTTTCAAAGTTGAAAGATCTAAATCTTTGTGTGATTTAGATCTTTGGCTGCCCTGCCCAGATCTCCTTTACCAAACTGATCACCCATTCACCATCTGCACATCAGCACCCGTCTTCCAGGAATCGCCCTTGGCCGATGGGACATGCCTCACAGGGAGTTGCCCGGGAAGGATGCTCATAGCTAATGCTGATAGATGTGGCTCTAAGAAGTGGTGGCAATCACTGTGGGGCACTTCAGGCTCCAGAGCTTCCCAGGAAATGAGGCTGGGACTAGACTTCTCCTAAAACCACATCTTTGTCCAGATTCTTCCCCTAACCTTTTCTGCTTTCTCTCACATTCTTACAAGTTTTCTTCTGAGATCATTTCTCGACTAAAAAGGAATCCAGGGACTGGGAATATGGCAGACCTCTTCTGTCCTCACTAACTTACCCCTAACTGTTCAGCCAGCCAACAGGCTCTTCCTACTTGAGTTCCAGCCTCCATGTTGCCTTATCTCTAAAGAATCCTGATGCTTCCACACTGAATTTCCACAATTGAAATTCACACGCTTTAACACAGCACACAAAACTCTTCAGTCTTGCTTTGACTTCTTTGCTTAGCTTCATTTCTTGTCATTCTTTACCATGCTGCAATGAAAACCAAATAAGATGAACTAAGTATTTTATCAATAAAAATGTTATTAATTTTAACAGGATGTTTGTATAGAGCTAGATATTTATATAGTCATTTTACTTTCATATCAACTGCAAGTAAATGGATTAGCTTTATAGTTAGGTAAATATTTATTTTTTCATCATTTAGTTTTTTAAATAGTTATTAATATTCTTAGTCTCTTTTATTTTACCTTAGAACTTGTCTGTGGAAAATATATTATTTGAAATGAGGGACCATCTTTCCCAGTCAAAGGTGATTGAAACACAACTAGCAAAGCCTTTATTTGATGCCCTGCTTCGAGTTGCCCTTGGGAATTATTCAGCAGATTTTGAACATAGTGATGCTGTGACTGAGAAGGTATGAATAACGACATATAGTTGTGTTCTTTGGGTATGACCAGCAGAGGCGGAAGTTGGGATGAGACTAGGATGCTGATGAATGTCATTGAGCATATGGACTAGGACTTGGTCAGATGAGTTCAGTGGATCTTATTACCACGTGATGGATATATGATGGGATGAACAGTATTTTGTCATTGCCCTGTCTTATACATAACAGGAGAGCAGTATGATATGCTTTTCCTTATCTAATCTGGAAATTTACTGAGAATTACTTCCAGTTAAGACAGAAATATATTACTTGATTTGGTATATTTTACATATACCTGATAGTTTATTAAATGCTAATTCAGGGATGGTGATGATTTACCTATCCTATCTGGTTCTTTGGTGGTACAGCTAATATTTCCAGAACTCTCTACTCACATTAATTTTAAATCGTTCAACATAAAAATGACTAGTATTTACATAGAAAATAACAATCACAATGTTTTAGTTGTTTAATGTTATTTCCTAAAGCAACTATTTTAATTTTCTTTCCTAAAATTATATGGTGCATAATTAGCTCATTTCCTTCTCATTTTATGTTTATTTTACCTTTAGTTGCCTTCTGTCCTTTATTTTTTATGTAACTTCTCTTTTAATTCCTTGATCTAGCCATGTATATGATGTTTTATAAGGTTTTGAAATAACATTGTATGTTACTATTTGGCATAACTTAAAAACATGCTGAAGTAGCTATTAATGTTCATCATATTACTGAATTAATTGATTAACTGTAAAATGTTAAAATACCTACTTTATTCTACCTTTTATTGTTGTTACAATGATGAAGTATTCTGAGCTTCTTTAGGTGAAAATGTTTTCTGAAATGAAGGTATTAGTGACATTTTTATAAGAAAAGGAAAATTTCTGTCTTACACAGGAAGTTAATACTGGAACTCTTGATTTCTGAGATGCTTGTTATGTAGACAGTTGCATTCCGAGATATTTTAATTAATCCCTTTGAAAAAAATGTCTTGTCTGCTCTAGTACCTAATATATGAGGCATTTATAAAAATCCTTATGAAAAAATCTTTTTATTAACAAATGTGCACAAATAATATATATTAGTATTAAATTGTATGAAGTAAAATTTCACCACATTGTGGTTTTTAGTCATTTCCTTATTGTGTAACTAGAATGAAATTTCTTACATATATTTATTAATAAATAATAAATAAATGACCTGTAACTTACTTTGTTAGAAACCCCCTTTTTTGAGGTATTAAGTTGTCTGAAAGCATCTGGGAAATTTTGCTGAGTGAATTTCATAATTTATAATAATTCATATTGCTAAGTTTTTTTCTTTAAGAAAATATTGAAACTGTCCTTAACATGACTTTTGAATAATAAGTATTCTATAACTAAAAACAAGCAAATATTACAACTTTTACCTTTGAATTACACTGATTTATAGAGTCGTCAATCTGCAGAAGAATTGTCATCCCAGCCTGGTGATTTTTCAGAAGAAGCTGAGGATTCTCAGTGTTGTAGTTTTAAGCTTTTAGTTGAAGAAGAAGGTTATGAAGCAGATAGTGAAAGCAATCCTGAAGATGGCAAAACCCAAGATGATGGTAAAGTATCATTGAAGTGCTTATGATTAGATCTGCAAGCCATATCATTGAATAGCAAAATAGTTCATAATAATACCACTTTAGAATTTTGTATTGCCTTACAGTTTAACAAATGTGTTGCATTATCATTTTATTGATCTTCCCAACAGTCTGGCATTCATATATGCAACAATGTGATATAGTTTGTTATCACAAACATCGTCTGAGTGCCTAAGAACATGGAGTGAAGGACAGCTTCCCCAATTTCATGTATATTCTAGTGTGAAAGACAATAAATACTAGAAATAGATAATAAAATAGAAATAGATAACCTGGGTGATGTTGTAATCATAACTGGGTGGTGAAATTTATAAATTTCTTAACTATATCAACGTTTTATTAAGAGCACAGCAGTCTTAAAAGATCTTATAAGTCAATTTTTCCAAAATGCAATATTCAATAAGACAGGATTGTTTCTCAGTTATGAAGTTGGCAAAATTGATAATTCATCCAACCAATAGCCAAGCCTGCTATTTTCACAAAGATTTGGGTAGGCAAATTGAACTGCTCTGTGATTTAGGTATTTGGGGGGTCAGAAAGTTTGAATAGGTTTTTTTTTTTTTTTAAAGTTGTGTCCATGGGATGTGTTAAATCTATATCATATGTCTATAAAAATTCTTGTTTATTTGTAAAATTTGTGGTTCTACTGAAGATGAAAATTGCTTTTAAGGCAACTCATTAATCTTCAGAATACCCATATCATTGTCATAAGTTGTGTTGTAGGAAAAGATTGGAAAAGGTTTTGTAAGCATCCTCTGAACAGTACTTTTGCCACTAGATCTTCCAAATGATTAATAAAGTTTGAAATATTTAGTGTTTAGGGAATAAAAATAATCTTTTGTTTTTCTCTTTTCAGGGGTAGACTTAAAGTCTGAAACAGAAGGTTTCAGTGCATCAAGAAGTCCAAATGACTTACTCGAAAACCTCACTCAAGGGGAAATAATATATCCTGAGATTTGTATGCTGGAATTAAATTTGCTTTCTGCTAGTAAAGCCAAACTTGATGTGCTTGCCCATGTATTTGAGAGTTTTTTGAGAATTATTAGGCAGAAAGAAAAGAATATTTTTCTGCTCATGCAACAGGTAAAAGATTCATTTAGTTAAATGTGATCAATATTTATCAGACTCATCACCCAATAACATCTCCTTAATGTATAACCCAACTTTTCTGAAAATTATTCGAGATGATTACTTATCTTTTCTGGTACCTCAGGTGTGTTTTTACCTAGAAGTGGTATTCCAAAATCTTCTAATTCCATAGTTTTTTAAAAGTAGCATAAAAAATTAATGTCCTTTGCTAGCCAGTAGTAAATTCTCATCTATTTCTGAGAATGGGTAATATTTTTTAAAATGCATTTAATTTGAATATATGCTCACTGTTTTGAAAAATCAGAAAATTTAAAAACAGTATAAAAAGAAAATGAAAATTAGTATAATCCTACACATAGTAGTCTTTTTAGTCATTTTAAAATACATATATACACATATAGTAGATACCCTATCATATAATTTATTATGACATTACAGTTGTTTCATGCTTCTGTGAGGTAAGTAATTTAATTTTGTATTTTTTTTTGTAATCTTCAGGGAACTGTGAAAAATCTTTTAGGAGGGTTCTTGGGTATTTTAACACAGGCCGATTCTGATTTTCAAGGTAAGTTGAAACTGTTTTTAACAATAGCTCTGAAATTATTTTTTGTGAAAAGTTGATAATAATGGCTTCAGGCCGGGTGTGGTGGCTCATGTCTGTGATCTTAGCACTTTGGGAGGCTGAGGTGGTAGGCGGATCACTTGAGCCTGGGAGTTCAAGACCAGCCTGGGCAATACAAAGAGACCCCATCTATAAAAATCAGCCAGGTGTGGTGGCGCATGCCTGTGGTCCTAGCTACTCGGGAGGCTGAAGTGGGAGGATCACTTAAGCCCAGGAGGCCAAGGCTGCAGTGAGCCATGATCGTGCCACTGCACTCCAGTCTGGGTGACAGAGCAAGACCCTGTCTCAAAAAAAAAAAAGTCTTCTATTGGCATAGTGCTCTGTGATTTCAAAAAAGCGTCTTTATATGCATTATCCCATTTGTTCCTCAGATCCACACAATGAAATAGACAGAGTGCAAGTATGTTTATAGAGAGGAAAATCTAGATTGCAAGGGGTTGACTTGTTCAGGGTCATATACATAGAAGTGGCATTGTGGGGACTGTAAACCCAGTCTAACGCTATGTTGTTGCCATATCTGATATTGATTACTCTGTACTTGGTACTTCCTCAGACATTTGAGGAAGTCATAATGAATGTATAATATGATTGCTAATCACAATAAATCTACATTTTAATTGGAGAACTTAAGGCTAGCCTACACGAGACGTTAATTTTGGTTTGTGTGATGTTTTCTCATGATTAAATTCAGGTTATACATTTTTGGCAGGAGTACTCAGAAGTGATACTGGGTCCTTCTGAGTGCATCAAATCAAAAGGATTTATGATATATGGATCTTAATACTGGTGATGTTAACTTTGATCATGTGGTTAAGGAGTTGTTTGCCGTTTCTCTATTATAAAGTTACTATTATCCCTTTATAATTAATAAGTATCTTGTGGGAAGATAACTTGAGACTATGTAAATGTACTTTTTCTCATTCTTTTATCCACTAATTTTAGTATTATGAAAAAATATGAAAGTATGATGATTCTTGAGTGAGACAGTTAATTCTGTGGTATCTGCCAAATAGTGATTTTCTATTTCCATCATTCCTTCTGCATTTATTCACTGAGATTGTACTTTAAGGAAAAGCTTTCTTTCCTTACTTATTTAGTATATGGGTGTATTTTTATTTATTACGCTAGGCACTTAGTGAACCCTTGTGTTCTGAATATGTGTTTCCATTTTAACTCTGAGAAATTATGTTCCATTATTTAATAACAGCTTTATTGGGATATAATTCCCATACCATAACTTTCACCTATTTAAAGTGTAGAGTTCAGTGTTTTGTAGTAGGCAGTTTATTTACAGAGCTGTGCAACCATCACCACAATTAATTTTAGAACATTTTCATCACCTCCAAAAGAAACCCTGTACCCTTTAGCAGTCATTGCCCATTGCCTCTTAACCGTCCTCTACACGGATTCTTCTGCAATTACTCATCTACTTTCTCTTCTGGATGTTTTTCCATATACATGGAATATGTGGTCTTTTGTGACTGGTTTCTTTCACATAGCATGATGCTTTCAACCTTCATTCATGTGGTAGCATGTTTCAGCACTTTAGCTCTCTAATCATGTTTTAAATTTCTTACTTTGTATGGATTCCTTTTTTTCAGGTTTTTTTGGTTTTTGTTTTTTTCTTGTAGACAGAGTTTTGCTCTTGTCGCCCAGGCTGGAGTGCAGTGGTGCGATCTCAGTTCACTGCAACCTCCACCTCCCAGGTTAAGCAATTCTCCTTCAGTTTTTATTAATAGACTTTATGTTTTAGAACACCTTTAGATTTACAGAGAAATTGAACAGCTATTATAGAGTTCCCTCATTACACCCTTCCCTGCCAGTTTCCCTTATTATTAACATCTAACTTTTTGTGATGTATGTATTATAATTAATGAACTTATATTGATATGTTATTATTGACTAAAGTCCATAATTCAGATTTCTTAAATTTTTACATAATGTCCTTTTTCTGTTCAAGGATTTTATCCAGGATAATACTACATAATAGTTAGTTGTCATGTCTTCTTAGGTACCTCTTGACTGTAACAGTTTCTCAGACTTTCCTTGTTTTTGTTGGCCTTGACAGTTTTGAGGGACACTGGTCAGGTATTTTGAAGAATGTCCCTGTATTAGAATTTGTTTGACATTTTTCTCATTGTGCTATCTTGTGATTTTGATTTGTATTTCCCTAATGATTAGTGATGTTGAACCTCTTTTCATGTACTTATTGGCCATTTGTATATCTTGTTTGAAGAAATGTCTATTCAAGCCCTCTGCTTATGTTTGAATTGGGTTGTTTCTTTTTTTGTTGTTGAGGTTTAAGAGTTCTTTATATATTCTGGATATTGATTCCTTATCAGATATGTGATATGTTAATATTTTCTTCTATTCTGTGGGTTGTCTTTTTACTCTGTTGATAGTATCCTTTGATGCACAAAAGTTTTTCATTTTGAAGTCCAGTTTATCTATTTTTTTATTTAGTTGGCTGTACCTTTGGTGTCATATCTAAGAAATCATTGACATATCCAATATTATGGAGTGTTCCCCGTAAGTTTTATTCTGAGAGATATATAGTTTTACATTTAGGTCCTGAATTCATTTTGAGTTAAATTTTGTATATGGTGTTAGGTAAGGAGCCAATTTTATTATTATTTTTTTTGCATGTGAATATCCAATTTTCTTAGCACCATTTGTTGAAGAGGCTGTCCCTCCCCCATTGAATGAAAGTTTTGGCACCTTGGTCAAAAGTCATGATTACACTAGGGGTATGGACTTTTGAGAGGAAGATCATAGAAGCAAAGTGCCATTGCCATTAAATCATATCAAGGGTACATATTGTCAACATGATTTATAATTGCTGATGTTGACCCTGATCACTTGCATTAAGTAGTGTTTGTCAGGTCTCTCCACTATAAAGTTACTTTTCCCCTTCTCTGCTTCTTTTCTTTTTTGGCTGAAATAACATTCCACTGTGTGGGTATACTGCATTTGATTTTTCCATTCTTCAGTTGATGGACATTTGGGTTGTCCTACTTTTTTGCTGCTATGAATAATGCTGCTATGAACACTCACGTACAGTTTTCTTGTGTGAACATATGTTTTCATTTCTCTTGAGTCATTTCTTTTGGGTCATATGGTAACTCTGTGTTTAATCATTTGAGAAATTGACAGACGATTGCCCAAAATGGCTATACCATTTTACATTCTTACCATCAGTGTATAAGGGTTCTAATTTCTTCACATTCTTGCCAACATTTGTTATTATATGCCTTTTTAATTATATCTCTCCTAGTGGATATGAAGTGGTATCTTGCTGTGGTTTTGATTTGTATTTCCCTGAAGGCTAATGTATTAAGTATATCTTTGTGTGTGCCTTAGTCCCTTTTGTGCTACTATAACGGAATACCACAGACTGAGTGATTTATAATGAACAGAAATTTATTTTCTCATAGTTCTAGAGACTGAAAGTCCAAGATCAAAGTGCCAGCATCTTGCAAGGGCCTTCTTGCTGCATCCTCACATGGCAAAAGGCAGAAAGGAAAAGAGGCAAAAGGGGGCTGAACTCTCCCTTTCATAAGGGCATGAATCCCACCCATGAGGGCAGACTCCTCATGACCCAGTCACCTCCCAAATATCCCATCTCTTAACACTACCACAATGGAAACCAAATTTCAACTTGAGTTTTGGAGGGGACAGATATTTACACCATAGCAGTGTGCTTATTAGCTATTTGCATATTTTCTTTGGGTTTCTTCAGAGAAATGTCTATCCAAATCCTTCAGCCATTTTTATACTGGTGATTTGTGTTTTGATTATTGAATAGTAAGAGTTTTTTTATATATTCTAGATGGAAGGTCCTCATCAGATATGTGGTTTGCAAATATTTTCTCCCATTATTTGTGCTGTCTCTTCACTTTCTTGATGGTTTACTTTGATAGCACGTTTTAAAAGATTTTTATGAAGTCCTATTTGTCTATTTTGACTTTCATTGCCTTGCTTTTAGTGTCATATCTTAGATCTAATACAGGATCATGAAGCGTTATTATTTTAAAAAATAATTTTCTCCTCTCCATATTCCCTTCTCTTTTTTTTCTTGTATTCTAATTGTAATCTTGAGCCTTCCCAATTGATCTTGCAGAGATAAGATTATCTTTCCTGTCATATTGACTATGTCACTGTTTTTATGCTACATCTTGAGACATTTTTTCAATCCCAACCTTTTATTTAATTTTTCATTTTGGTAATTTTAATATTTAAGAACTCTTTTTTGCTTGACTGTTTTCTGGTTATTTCTTTTTCATATAAGGATATAATATCTCCTTGTATATATTTAATTATAGTAACAAACATCTTAAAGTTTCTTCTGTCCCCAAATTATCTCATTTTCCTCTGGGGTCAGTTTTGTCTGTTTCTTGTTTTTTTAAGTATTGTTTTTACTGCTTTAGGTTGCTAATTCTCTAATTTTTTATGAACCTTTTAAGCCTATTTATATTTAGTAAAACTGTTGGAGATTTCCTCTAATACTGTGAAAGTGAATTTATTTTCTATTTTGGCCTCTTTCCTGAGTGGGTAGTATGTTGAAGAGCTCTGTGTGAATGTGCCGTTGGATGATTAGGGGCTTCACAAACACTGTAATGAAGAGAGCTTTACTTTGGGGGACCATTAGGGATACTATTACCCTGCATGGCAGTTTGCATACCTTAGAAAAATGCATCTTTCACATATAGGGCTTGGCTGGCTTATAGTGTCTTTGTGCTGAGAAAAAAGGCATCCCTTTCTTGATCCAGGCATCACAGCCCAAAACTAGGATACATGGCTTGGCATACAGCATTCATGCTTTATTTTAGTCTCTGCTTTTCCCTCTGGTTAGGCAGTTTGTTCAGTCTGCAGACTGGACAGTTATACTCGGTAGCCGTGATGCTAAAAGCCTATATACACCTGAGCTTTTGCCTGGTAATCCACTTCGTTTCTTTAGAGAAGAGTTATCAGGTTTGGGACCTAAAAGTGAATACTGAACTATCTGTGCTCTGTACTGAGAAACAGGAGAGAGGTGGATATTCACAGAGAGACCTTTCATTAATCCCTGTATTGTCAGCCGCACTCTCACTTTCTCTCCAGACCTTAGATGGACAGCTCGGTTTCCTACTGCTCTGAACCTCTTTTTAATTCAAAGAAATTCTAGGTTGCAGCTTTGTCTTTTATCCATCTGCTTTTCCATCTTCAAGAAATATTTTAAAATCTTTCACTAGATGTGCCCCAATGCCCACTGCCCCCACATATTTTTGCTGTTATGGGTTTCTTCCTTCTTATAATTCTGTACTTTAATGCTGTGAGTTTTCAGTAGTACACAGAAGCAAGTGTATATATCCATTCCCCCATTTTTAACTGGAGTCTGTTACTTTTGAACTGGAAAAAAAAAAACAAAAAACTAAGCACACACACTTTGATCATATTTTTTTCCTACTTAAAAACCTTTAATGGATTCATGTTACGTACAAGACAAAGTCCATGCTATTTTATGGTCTCATTGCAAGTAGTCTGTCCAGATGTATGTACTATTTTGCTACTGTGTCAGCTCATTGCTTCTGCAAAATATGTTGCTTAAATACAGCTTCTATTCTCTAACCTCCAGGTCTTCCAAAACTACCAATCTTTAAAACTTATCTCAGGTTTTAAATCAAGATTATTTCTTTCAGGTCAAAGTGGAGATAATATTTATTTTGTAGGGTTTTTTTGTTTTTGGTGAGGATCAGCTGAAATAAAGCATGTAAAAATACTTTGAACACTATAATTTGCTCTACAAATATTAGTTATTATTTTGCTCTAAAGAATTCTGTGAATTTGTGTATCACCATTTATGTTTTGTGCTAAACCTATGATGGAATAAAGAAAATGTTCAAACTAAATAGTTGGTGATATTTAAGTATTTAAATCATCTTTAATATTTCCACTACTTGTCATCTAATTTTGTACTTAAAAAGTGATAGATATAATTTAAACATTTTCAAGATTAGAAGTTAGCAGACTATTTTATTATATAGAAGTATTAGCTTAACAAATATTATGTTGATTTATGCTTCTTTAAAGAATGCCCTTAGTTTATTTGTAGCTAATTAATCTTTAAGAAAAGTGAGCTCATGCCAGCCGGGCACGGTGGCTCACGCCTGTAATCCCAGCACTTTGGGAGGCTGAGGCGGGTGGATCACCTGAGGTCAGGAGTTTGAGACCAGCGTGGCCAACATGGCAAAACCCCGTCTCTACTAAAAATACAAAAATCAGCTGGGCATGGTAACATATGCCTGTAGTCCCAGCTCCTCGAGAGGCTGAGGCAGGAGAATCACTTGTACCTGGGAGGTGGAGGTTGCAGTGAGCTGAGATCATGCCATTGCACTCCAGCCTGGGTGACAGAATGAGACTCTGTCTAAAAAAATAATAATATTAAAAAGAAAAGTTTTTGTTGTTTTTGACGGTTGGTTGGTTGATTTACATTTAGTTATATGGCTATTTCTTCAGCAAATTTTGTGATTGCTATACTAGATTTTTTATAATTCATTCAAAAAGTGACAATAGTATTTTAGCTCTTTTGGTGAAATTGCTCATTTGTTCCTCTAATTGTGTACTAGCCTTAATTTTTTTCCTCTTTCTTTAATTTAGCATGCCAGAAAGTATTGGTGGATCTTTTGGTATCTTTGATGAGTTCAAGAACATGTTCAGAAGAGCTAACCCTTCTTTTGAGAATATTTCTGGAGAAATCTCCTTGCACAGTAAATATGCTATAATCTTTACATTTTTCATTGATAAATTCTTTCACTTATAATTTTCAATAGAATGTATTTTTAATTATTTAGAAATGTTACTAAGCTCTTTTGATGTGACAATTGGTATAGTCAATTTCTTATTATGTGTGAAATGCTCAATTATTTGCATATATTTTAACCATTTCACTTCAATTTTGATTAACCAGACATATCACTGAGATTATCTTTTCTTTACCCACCCCATGTCCAATTTTTGTGCTTCAGAAAAGCTGAATAATTTTAATTACTAAAGAGAGCTTAATTGTGAATAGTTATAACCATCTTAGGGATTATCCTTCTCAAAAGGTTATTATCCACTATACTCTTCAGTTATTGTCTACACTTCCCCTTTCCATTGGTGTGGTAGTGTCTTTTAAACTATTATTTGCTAGGAAACCCATTTTTTATAATGAAACCTTGACTAGAAGCATAAGCAAATAAGACAGAAAACTTTGGAGCTACTTCGTGGTGGGATTTGGATGTTCCAGAGCCCTGCCCACTTTATCACCCTGCTCCAGTCCCAAGGTTCCTAAGGGAGCTCTGTGGAACATGGGTTAAAAATCACTAGTGTAGATCATTGAAAACTGGCTGCTATATTTGTGGAATGCTTTTTTATTACTTCTTCTAAGTATATTTGTCATTATCATAATCAACATCAGGTGTTATTTTAAGCATGAATAGGACATTGTACTAGGTTAATCTTTTTTATTTTTTTTCTTCTCTCTCCTTAGTCATTGTTCTTGCCTTTAATTAAATGTGCATTTCCTCTTGTATTTTCTATAAATTCTACATTTCAGTTTAACCAAAAACTTGTAATATAAATAAAAGTTTAAAACCTTGTTTCAGTTTGCCAAACACAGATGAAAGAAAATTTACTTGATATGAAAAAATCATGTGAAATAAATTGGAAAGTAATTGAACACTCAGTTTTATGAAGACAGTCATGCTCTAAAGTCAGAAATCTGGAGAATATGTAATGTCTCTGGTTATATCTCTGCTTTAAAAATAATTGGGAGAAGAACCATAGTTTACTTAGAAATAAACATTTTTCGTTAGTAGAAATGATTCTTGATATAAGTATTATTTTTAATTTAAAATTTAAAACCAAATCATAACTATTAAATCTAAATATGTATCAAAAAATCTAGGTACCCCATAAATATATGTACCTACCATGTATCCACAAAAATTAAAAATAAAAATTTTAACAAAAAAACATCTAAGGCAGGGCACCATGGCTCACGCCTGTAATCCCAGCATTTTGGGAGGCCGAGGCGGGCAGATCACCTGAGGTCAGGAGTTCGAGACCAGCCTGACCAATATAATGAAACCCCGTCTCTACTAAAAATACAAAAATTAGCTGGGCGTGGTGGCATGCACCTGTAATCCCAGCTACTCAGGAGGCTGAGACAGGAGAATCACTTGAACCTGGGAGGCAGAGGTTGCAGTGAGCTGAGATTGTACCATTGCACTCTGCCTGGGCAATAAGAGCTAAACTCAGTCTAAAAAAAAAAAAAAAAATTCTTTGAACAATTATCAAGTTAAAATGAGGCCATATTCTTTTAGGTTGTACCTTAATTTGATACTCAGTGTCATTATA